AGATGTCAGTTAAGTTGCCAAGCCGTTCCCAGACGAAGCGCAGCTGAAGGACGGTTTTGCACTGTTGTAGGCGACCTCTCAGGACGAGAAATTCCTTTTGTTTGTTCGGCGGGAGGCCCCTTGCGAGGGCCAACCCGCCTGATCTCGGTGTTCAACATGATATCAGCGTCGGATATGGGTGTTTTCATCGTCGAGGTCGCCATCTCAGCCGCCGCTCCCATCCATCCTCCTAACAAACTTTTGCTCGGCGGCTTACCTATATAAACATGGCGGGAACCACCATCGTCGCAGAAGGAGCCTTGTAGGACCTATTAAGGAGCGAACGACGAGCCGGTTCAGAAAAACTGTCCACAAAATCCATATATCAATCCTCATAAGGCTGCATCACTCCCGGAGTCCCTCCTCATCAACGGCCCCAGCCAATCAAGATTGGGTTGGGTGGATCAGTAGGAAGGCAGACATATGTTTAATCCTCAGAAGTTGACAGTCACTCCCTCGCCTTCCTCACGCCAGAACAAGACAGACCGAGACCCTACAAGCCCCAAACACCCACCGCTACATCCACTCCTTTGCCATATTTCAGGGTCCAGAGCGGAGAACAGTTGGCGAGAGACTTGCAAGTTGAAAATGCCCCCCTGTTTCCCACTCAGCGCAAGGCGTGGAAGGAAGCTTCCGTCGTAGGACATGTTGTGACATCCATATGCGTTCTCATCAGGGTTGTTTTTATGTTGACAAGAGGAAGACACCAGGGAGCGGAGCAAGGTGAACGGAATATGACGAAGTCGCGGCCTTACCTTTGCGAATTGGTGATGTGGGTGAGGATTGGGAGGTCACTGAGCGAGCGCCTTAAGTAGCAAGAAGAAGAACGTGGCTGGAACCAAGCGTGGCGCATGCAAGTGGCTTGGCTCGGCCTGTCGAAATTGGGGTTAATGTCTATTTTCCTTCGCGAAAGCAATCGTGTATTTGTCGTTTCCTCTCTTCTCCAGCTATCTCAGCAGATCCTTCACATTCTCTCGCTCTTTAGCCTTCCGCTATGAGTGCCCATCTTCTTTTAGCCCGCTCCGGCTGTTTGATGCGGTGCGCTCATCCATGTCTCGAAAACCCTTCGTATAGCCCAAGCTTATTCACAGTTGGCCCTAAACATATCCCCACTCTGTGGGCTTCAGAAACTTGCTATTCCGGCTCTTGCTGGGATGCCGGCGGCTCGTTTTGTGCTTGCGGCTGTTGAACCGGTACCGGCGGCGGTACGTGGTGCGGGTAACCTGGAACTGTGGCCATCCCGACGCCAGCTGCCGCTCCGGGCGGCTGAGGCTGGTGATGGTGGTGAGGAGGCGGCGTAGCTGCTGCACTGGGTGCTCCGGGACCATGCAGCTGGAGAGAATGCATACAAAAGGAAATTTTCCTGTTAGGATTTTCGGCAATCGCAAAACGCCCATACCACCGCAACAAACTAGGGTCTGCCACTTACATAAGACAAGCTGGGCTGGTCGTCTTGCCCAGGACCCGGACCTTTTCCTCGATCCCTGCCACTGGGGTCAGTACCGGACGGGACCTGCGGCTGCTGTAGACCCGGAGGCGGGATAGCCGCGCCACCACCAGGGTGCGTGGGCGGATACGGGTAAGGCGGCATGGCGCCCGGCGGTCCGTGAGGCGGGCCCCCTCCACCTGACCCTGACCCAGGCGGATAAGGCGAGCCATAGTATCCGGGAGGTGCCCAGTGGCCTCCTGCACCGTGAGATGGCGGATATAACCCCTGAGGAGGCCCTTTGTCTGTTCCGTGCTGCTGTGACTGCGGAGGCGGGCCCAAGGGACCTCCAGGAGGACCAGCGTGCTCGCCCGGATGACCGTGTGATCCAGGTGGGCCTCCAGGGCGCCCTCCTGCCGGCGACTCACCGCCAGGTGCTCCGGGCACGTGAAAGCCCGGGCCAAACCCGTAGCTGGGTGCGTAGCGCGGTGCATCGTGCTTCATGGGAGGCGCACCAGGGTGCGGTCCGTGTGGGTAGTAAGGCACCGGCGGAGGCCCGCCGTGGGAAGGCGGAACCGATCCATGCTCACCTGGAGCACTTTGACCCTGTGGCTGTCCTTGTGGCCCTCCTCCCCCAGCTACTTGTGCAGGAGGCGGCGGTCCTCCCGGGCCGCGACTGCTCAAATCTTCGTACGGATGCCCAGGCGGAGGGAGGTACGCACCGGGTGGAGGCCCGTAGCCTGGGTGCTGACGATAGTCACGGTGGTGCCAATCCATTGCATTAGGATCATGCTCGCGAGGATTGTACATGTGCGGCGGAGGTGGATACATGGGGCGCTGTGAGTATGGTCCAGGATACTGCCCTTCGTGCTCGGAACCGGGAGGGCCCATTATAGGCGGCGGGTAAGGCGCGCTGGGATCGTAGTGAGGAGGTGGCATGGGATAGCCATGGGGAGGCATTCCTTGATAAGGGTCACCATGGTAAGGATATCCTTTTGGCGGCATGCCGCCCATCGGTCCGTAGTGATGGGGATAAGGGTGGCCGCTCGGGTCATGAGGCATGTGCGAGTAGTACCGCGGGTCCGGGTGGCCCATGGGACGCGAAGGATCGTACACACGGTCATAACCAGGGTGCGGGTACGGCGGCCCGTGCGACTTGCTATCCCTTGAGTCCTTCTTCTGCAAAGCGCCGACGAAACCAAAGAAGGATTTTTCCGAACATCAGATCTACCAGAAAGTTAAGAAGCCCTTGCATTTCTTTCGCAGCAATGGCTTACCGAACTCCCGCTCTTGTTGCTGGTTCGTCTTCTCTGAGACGACTCTGGACGCGGTTCATCCGAATAGCCCGATTCTGATGCATTCTCGCTGCCATCAGCGCTAGCACGACGCCCCTTTTTTCTGCCACGCTTTTTCGAATTGTCGGCACTTTCGTCAACATCGTGATTGCCCTTTTTGCCGCGACCCCTACGATGATACGGATGTCAGTTAGGGCTCGATCGTTGGGTCCTTTATCGGTTGACTTTTGCTCACTTGCGCATCCGTAATTCTTTCCTGATTCTGATCTTGAGTCCCTGTTCAGCAAAGGTGCGCGAGAGAAAGGTGGATTCTAGAGCAGTATGGATTAGCAAGGGAGAAAGCAGCGAGCCGGAGACGCTGCGAAACCAAACCCGGCTCACCTTCCATTCCAGGGAACTTTTTGGCCGGGTATACATTAAACGCGTCAGAGCATATCGACGTGCAGTGGTATATCTCGGTGTTTATAATCTCAAACAGCGAGAACTAAGTTTGGGGAAAATGATGTACGACAGATCGTTTGTCAAAAATTACTGCGCATCATTTGCCGGAGGGATTTGAAGCGCCAAGCGCGATTTAACCTTACCTTTAAACGATAAGTGCCTTCCATCCTCACCGACAGGTCCGGGAACACGAAAAACGCGCCGTCCTTGTTGTCGAGGTCCTTGAGGCGATACAACGAAGACACGATGGACCCGGTCGTAGAACGCGTCTTGCCGTCGCGCAGCAAGTGAAGCTCTTCTTCGCTCTCGGGAGCAATCAGGGACGCATACATGAAGTAGTATGGATTATACAAGTATGAGCTGGGTGAGAGAAGGCCATGCACGCGCGCGGTTAGTCAGGAAATAAACGCGAGAAGCAAAGAGAAGCAAAACCAAGGAAAAACAAGTATATGTATCCTACTTTTCATCACTAAATGCCGTGTTTTTGATCTCAAGTTGCTAAGCAAGCATTAGTGTGTGTTAATTCGCGGGAAAACAAAAAAAGGCAACCAACAAAGGAACCTACGATGATGGGCGGCGGATCCAACGGCCTGCGGTCAACCTTTTCACCAAACCCGCACATGCGCGAATGCTTTGGCTGCTGTCTCAGCTTCAGAACATAGTTTCTAAGAGAGAGAATGAGCAAAGAACCGAAAAAAATACCACCAGGCCTGCTCGCGTTGCATATGACAAGCTAGTGGAAAAATACCTGCTGGTACGCGAGCGTGGGCTCTGGTTCAGAGTGATGAACTGGTATGGGTTGCTGTCCTGAGCGTGAGTCGTTGCTGTAGTCACGACGGGCGGAACAGGCACGGCGGCTGGCGGAGCTAGTGGTCCGCCTCCAGCAGCGGCTTGTGCGGCGGCCGCGGCGGCCGCGGCAGCTGCCACCGCGGGAACGGCGGGAGGTCCGTTGGGAATGGCGGCGGCGGATGAGTGTGGAAGAACGGCGGGCTTGTCGCCGTGGGCCGTTTTATGCGCGTCTGGGTTGTGCAGCAGGAGGTCGCTGCTGCCTTGCGGACCTTGGAGAGCGGCAGTGGCGGCGGCGACGGCGACGGCAGCAACAGCGGCAGCAGTAGTTGCAGAGACGGCAGGCGCGGAAGAAGACGCGGGCGGAGACGGTGACGGCGACGAGCGCAGAGTGACGCGCTCAGGTTTTGCAGATGAGCGTGAGGGCGCGGGCGCGAGCGACGAGAAGGACGAGGACACGGACGAGACGGACAGAGACGGCGACGGCGGGGGTTGAGCGCTTTGGTCCATGCACTCTGGGTGAGCAAGCAAGAGGCGAGCTGGCAGCGGGCGGTGCAGCGATTGCCCCGCGTTGCGTTGCGGTGGGGTCTGTCGTCGGTGTCGGTGCGTGTGGTGGTCGGTGCGTCGGCTCGCTTGATCCCCGGGTTTTTGGGAAGGCACTTCCCGGTAACAAGACGGCACTGGTTTGTTTTCCCTTTTCCGCTTTTTTTGCGAGGTGCCTTTCCTTTGTCTCGTCCCCTCCGCCCAAAGTCCGTTGCTTCGTTTCTCGCGCTGCGCCCGAGTGGGCCCGCCCTCTCCAATTGGCCGCCAGACAATCACAAACGAAAACAACGCGTGTGCGCCACTGCCCTGGTTCCTTCAACTTCCTTGGTCCGCTGGCCGCTGGCCCGTGCCCAACCGCCGCAAAGGCGCGTACGTGAAAGAAAAGAGCCGAGCACGCGGCAGCAATGGGTGGTACAACACGCAAACCAGGGCCCGCTTGCGTGTGGACAAAATTAGAAAGCAAAAGATTGTGGACCCGCTCGGGATTGAACCGAGGACCTTCGCCGTGTAAAGGCGACATTATACCACTAAACTACAGGTCCCATTGATGTTCTGCCCATTGGAGGCAGATATATAATGTATAAAAACCACGACGGCATATCTGCTTGGCAGTTTTCAACAACGAGCTCGCTGCCAGACCCCCACGACGACACACATTGGCCTCGTCTAACAAATACTGCGACAGGGCTTTAGCTGTCGGCACCAAACGCGAGAATCCGCGACGTAAATTTGGGGATATGGCTGAATGTTTACAGCGGGCGGTCTGGCGGGCTGCTTGTCTAGATCTCAAACACGCACTCTGAGCGGCTGGAACCAGCGACAAGTGTGACTTACTCGGGACAGACTCCGCTCCAGCGTTTTCCCATCGGCAGCAAATCCAGCAATCCAAAGCATCTATATCTTGATTTTTAAAAAAAGTTTTCAAAATTGGTAATAGAAGCAAAGGTCCATCTGTACAAAAATAAAAGGCTAAGGACAGGAAGATAAAGGGAAGAGACTCCACCATCCCTCCAGCAGTCCAGCTACAAAAAAAAAGGGAAAGTTACGCCCGCCTGTCGTCTGTATATGTACGCCGTGCAACGAGGGCTTTCATCTCAAGCAAAGCCAAGCCCAAACCCGCCTCCCCCTAGATCAACGCCGCCTTCAGCATACGGCACGTTGGCAATCCACCGTTCCCACGGGTCATCCCACGACTGCAGGTCAGCCGCCTGGTTAAAAAATATTGACTCGTGGCCCGCGGCAACCTGCGGCGATGCTGATGCCGGCGGTTCCTGGTCTTCGTCCTCAACGTCTGCGAATGAGTGCTTTTTCCTCACAGCGCCGGTGTATTCAGCACCGTCGAAATTGCCATCATCATCGAGCTCCACGATCGCAGAGCCGGAATACGGCAGCGCGGTGGATAACAAGCGCATCGCGTTTTCCTCGGCGTTGGTCGTTGCACTGGCGGGAAACAAAGGCTGGGCGGAGGAATTCTTGCGCCGTTTGTTGAATCGCGCGGGAGGCGACGGCGCAGGGGGTGCAGGTGGCGAAGCAAACAAAGCGTCTCGTTTCGTTGTCGGCGTCGCCCACGCTGGACCAAGCACCAGGTCGTCTCCATGAGGTTGCGAGTGCGACTGCTGATGCTGCTGGTGTTGCTGGTGCTGCTCGTGGTAAGACGCTCCAGAACCGATATTGGCATGGTCCTGCAATTGTCGATGTTGATACCGCTCGACGCCCATATTATTGTTGTCGTCCAAAATGGGCATTGCGTTCGCAGCCGAGAAAATGCCTTGCTCGCCCGTCCGCACAAATCGAATCTCGACCCGTCCGACAGCGTACGGGCTACCCGCCGGCCGGTCGCCGTAAACGTCGGCTGCAGGGACCCACGACGTGACGGCCTTCCACCCGCCTACGCCGCCGAGCCATTCCAAATCCTTTGCAATGCCCTCTACATACGCCCGGTATACATTACGCCGGAGGTGGAGCACAGTTCCGATGCGGAGTGGGGTAACAGACTCGTGCTCCATTTTGAGTGGCATTTGCGAGATCACCGCCGCGAAGCCGTACCCTTCGTTTAGAATCTCAACCTCGTAAGGATCTTCGGAATTGCAAAAGCATCGAATAGCAGTGAGTATGTTGCGGCCGCAACGCATAAAAACCGTGTCCGTAGCGTCGGCTTTAGACCCCACCGCCCGGGCGAACGCCGTCAGTCCGCGGTATATGCGATACGAGTACTCGCTTCTGCTAGGCAAGGAGTTGACAAATCCAGTCAACAGCAGCGGCGCCTCTGAAGCCGATAGCGCGGGCGTGAGGTAATTAATGAACAACTCATGGACTCGCAGCGACGGGACGTAGCCGCCGCGGCTTTCGGTTGCCGATATGTACGACAGCATTTCTCCCGGGATCAGCGCTTGTGGCTTGATGGTAAAAAAGACAGAGATTAATCTGCAGACGGAGAAGGCAAACGACTTTTGTAGGTCAGCACATTTCTGACAACAAAAGGAAAAACTTTATAGACACGACGGATGGCTTGCCTTTGAATGACGCTAGTCTTGATGCCCACATTCCCTATGCTTGGAGGGTTTCGCACAATGACATTGAGACTCTCTGCAGATACACGCTGGGCCAACTCCCTGCTGTTTGCCCCTGACTGTGTTGTTGTCAACTCTAACACCGACGAGGGCGAACCGGCGCTGCCCGCAGCTTTACCAGAGTGCCAAGTCCAGCCTTGTTGACCCGCCGTACCATCACTGCTAGAGTCTTGAGCCGCTACGGCGCTGGGAAAAGGCACGCCATGGTTGTGTTTGGAGTGTGAAAAGTCGACTTTGAGAGAGTCCACGCCTGCTGGCGTCCATGGATTTGACATCGAGAACGCATCATTTTGCGTGCCGGCAGAAGGCAGCGTCTTAAATTGCGACTGCGAAGGATGCGGTTGCGAGGAGTGCGAATGAAAGGAATGCGACTGCGCGGGATACTCATTCTCAGCACTCGAGTGCAACGGAGCCGTTAACGGAAACATGTACGGCGACATGTCCACGGGCGTTGATGTGATGGGGGTAGGGAAGCTTCCAACGCCGCCGCCGTTGTTGCCGTTATATTTCGTATTACGCAATGGCGGCGGCGCATCTCCGCCGGCGTCAATGCGCTGATGCTCCTGGTCTGGCGAGTATGGATGAGCGACAGAGCTCCGCACAGGAAGCATGGGTGAATGGTGAGATATTAGCGGTGAGGGAGTGTGTGGGTGATGTCGCGGAGTGGTCTCTAGCGGAGACGCGAAATGGGACTGCGGCGGCAGGTGATATGAGCCCCAGGATCCACCGCGCTGGTGAGCAAACGTGCCAGACGTGTTGATGCTCGCCAGCTTTCCATATGGCGTGTGCGGGACTTGATGATGATGATGATGCGAAGAAAAGTCATGACCATACGCCGGTCCTGGATATGACGTGTGCCGCTCGTGAGTGGGATAGTATGGCTCGGCCGCCGGTGCGGCTGCTGCTGCTGGCACGTTGCCGTTGCCGTACGGCGGGTAGTGACCCACAGCAGCAGCAGCGAGGTCAGGATGGTGGAAGCTGCTAGAGTCGGATGCGGAGCGCGCATGGCCGGCAGAGAGGTTGCTAATGAACGGCGACGGCTGGAACGGCTGTTCTTGCTTGAGAAACGGGCTGTTGTGATGTGACAAAACGGGCGAGTCAGAGTGATGGCTGGACGTGCGACGGGTTTCCGGCGACGAGATTTTGCGCTTGCGGGGTACCGGCTGGATGGAGGGTGGCGCGGACGGAAGGGAAGTTGAAGTCTGTGAGGTGGTGTTGCCAGCAGAAGCGGGAGTTGCCGGCCGCTTGTTATGACCCGCGGGTGGTGCGGCCACGGCCTGTGGATCTGAACCCTGCGCCAGATGCTTGCTCTCGTGACGCTTGACATCCTGTCGGTTGCGCAGGCGTACCGGGCACCTCTGTTGGGGGGAGAGTAAATGTCAGAATGATGAACAAGGAACTTTCCTTTTTTTTGTTGGCCAGCGTAAAACGCGTCGTTTTCGGAAGCTATTTATTTACCGGACAGACAATGGGCCTCAGGGCGGTGCTGAAATGCGTCACGACATGGTCGGAAAAGTTGCCTCTGTTACGCAGGTTCTGGCCGCAGACCGGGCGGGCCTCGTGCGGGTGCCACTGGCACTGCTGCTTGCCGTCCTGCGCGTGGACGGCGGTAAGGTGGGCAAAGCAGTCGTCCTCTGTGGCGAACGATTCCGAGCAGGAAGTCCACAGGCAGGAGACTGCGTTTGGCATTGCTGGCGGGGGCGGGGGCGGGGCCCAGAGGGAGGACAGCTGGCAGCGGCAAAAGAAGGAGCTAGGGGCGGGCCGCGAGGGCGCGGGTTGCTGGTAAGTTCAGCAGCCCTTATTACTAATGAGCGCAGCGGAGGACAGCCGGCGGCCGTGACGTGAGCAACTTTTTGGTTTTTGTTGTTGTTGGGCAAGGAGCAAAAAGAAAGTTCGTGAGGGTAGCACGGGAGGGGGCCAGCAAAGCAGTGCGGCGCGCGCGGATCTCTCTCTCTTTGCGAAGTCTGTTGCTGTTGTCTGATGAGAGGTTCTCCCACGAGCGTGTGGCGTTTGTAAACGGCTGGGAGGCGGCGGCAGTTGGATAAAACCCGCGTTGCGTATCTCTCTTTTTTTCTTTTTTTTTTTTGCGAGGAGATGGAAGCAGAGGCTGGAGCGTGGGCAGGTTTCGATCACGGGCGAAAGGAGGAGCAAGTGGGTATGGGGTAGTGTATATGTAGCGCAAATCCCCGGGGGGGCGAGCGGGGGGTCGGTCGGTCGGTCGGATGATTGATTGATGTCTTTCTTTGTTGATGAACGGACGGGGGAGGGGATGTAAATATAAAATAAATAATGAGTCTGGGTCCAGATCGAGCAAAGCAAAGCACGCGATTGTCATTTTCATTGCCCATGGCGGCGTTTTAACGCAAACGGCGGCTCATTGCCCGCCTTTCTCTTTCACTCTCCTTCAAACACTCGGGCACGGGCCCAGCCAAAGTTGCCAAACACGTCGCATCCGGAGAGCCGAGTGAGATGTTCCTGCGTCTGTGTTTTTTGCCTTCCCGTATACGTCCTTTCCCCCCCTCTCGCGTCGCCCGTGTGTTCTTGTTTTTTACTTCCTTGCGCTCTCGCGTGCTCACACAGACAGACGACGTTTGTCTATCTCTGGCGGGAGAAGGGGAAAACGGGGGTATTACACACGGGCATGCAAGTTGCAACTGCACGCAACCGATACCAAGGGCACGCACGACCAGCGCAAGGGAAGTTGGGAGGAAAGAGAGAAAAAGACAACGGGGAGCGGGGGCCCCGTCTTTTGCGCCGTGGTCAGACAGGTTTCAGCGTGACAGCTACTGCGAACTTTGGGAGAGCGAGGAGAGATGAAACGGTGCAACAAACAGTTCGTTCCTCGGAAGTCGGAACGAGCGAAATCTCCGCCCCCCGCCACGCCACGCGCCATGAGTCATAAATAGACCAGCCAGCCACCTGCTACTCGCCGCTATTGTTTCGCACGGGCTTGGCCAAGGCAAAGCAAATGACGCACAAACACGTCGTCAACTGCGCGTGACAGCGTGACGGAGCCGGGGGGGTGGCAGCTGCCGGCAGCTGACAATTCCCAAGAACTCGCCACATAAAAAGAGAATCGCTGCTCGCCATCAGCCCCCGCCCCACCCTTACAATCATCAAAGACACTTACTCTCGCCCTTCCCGTTCCTCATGCCCTCGCACTACAAAACTATTCTTGCCTTTCGCCCGCCGCGCGTCTACCACCCCACGCAGGCCGCCCGCGCGCTGCAGACGCCTCAGGCCTCGCTGTCCAGCGCACCGCACCTTCAGCTTAAACCACTACCACAGCGATATTACGCTCGTCCAATAGAGATCCGCGCGAATCGCTGGGTCGCCATTGGCGGCACCCCCGTCAACGCCTCTGCTACGTCGTCGTCAGCGGCGTCCAAACTCAAGGCATAACACAAACAAAACAAGTCAGGCCTTTCTCTTCCTCTGACTCGCTGACTCGCTGGATATTTTGTGATTCCCCTTTATTACTGCCGCCCCGATCAAGTTTCTTTTTTTTTGCTTTTGGAGTTTTGGACGCCCACCCTTTTCCTGTATATATATGTATACCGCGGGGGCAATGATAATCTCTTTTTTCTATTAGCTCAATGTTCGTTTTGTGTGAGCGAGGGGTCTGTGGCTCGGAGCAACAACTAGGCGAAAAGGCTTTTTAAAATCGATAGGCTTCAGTGAGGGTCGAGGATTTCATGGATGGGATCGGGCCAATGGGCGTGTGATATGAAGCATTAAGGCGACGGGGTGTCAGTGTGACTCATCGGTAACATCGCGGCCCGCTCATCGTTCGATTTAAAGCGCACGAACAGCAACAGCCGTTTGACAGACGGCATCAAAATAATGCGGGCCTTGGGAATTCCGCGTACATAATACATTGACAGATAAGAGTTTTAAACTGCCCAGAGAGAGAGCATGCAAACGGAGTAAAAGAACTCTATCGAAAAGATTCAAAAACCAGAGACGACTTCAGTCATACTTGGTGGGAGAAAGTTTCCTTCTGTAAGTTTCCTTCTGTAAGCGGAGCCTTGCTTTGCTGGTTATCATTTGCCTTGCCATTCCGCGTGGCTCCGACGTCAATGCCGACTTTTCCCCCTGTTACCCTTGGCTGGTTCGATCCGATGCTGAACCGCACGGCCGTGAAATCGAGTTTGACAGCTTTAGGAGGAATCTCACTTTCCCACACCTCTACAACTGCCTTCCGGGCTGCCTTACCTTATTTATTCGGAGTTATGACGAGGTTTGCTGTCGCCATAAAAGCAAAAGCAACCGTGGGCCAGGGGTTACGCTTCATCTCTTCCAAAGATGAGACCCGAGTTCGAATCTCGGCGGTTGCACCGCCGTCGGTCCCAGGACGATCTTTTGACTTTTTCTCCGCTTATTTTTTTGCAGTTTGACATCTGAATAGTTACCAGGACCAAAGAGGGTACTGACAGTACACAGTGGAGAGGGGCGACGTGTTAGCATGGGAGGAAACAAAGGTATATTGCTAAACAACAAGTTGGATATCAGGAAGAAATAAAGTGTCATACAGCTCGCGCAATGTCGAAGAAAGTTGGTTCTAATACGGGTTGTAAGCCGATGGCATTTGCATTTGCTGCGGAGGGTACTGCTGGTGGCGGGGGTCGTCGCCGTGGGGCCCAGACGCTGATGCTGAGTATGATGGCGGAGCTGCGAAAGACGCCGCCGCCGGGTCCTGTTGATATGCGTGTCCCTTGCTATCATGGGCGTGCTGCTGCTGCTGCTGCGGTTGGTATTGAGAAGAAGCCCCTCCACCAGCAGTGTGGTCGGGGTTATACGGAAGTGGCTGTTGAGGGTGCGGCGGAACTGCAGGCTGCACGTATATCTGCTGATGCTGCTGCTGGAGCGGCGCGGCGTACGCTTGCTGTGGTGGAGCGTAGGCCTGAGGCTGTGGGTACTGGCCCTGCGGGTATTGCGGGCCAGGCTGCTGCGGCGGATACGGCTGCTGAGGAGGGTACGGCGCGCTGGCATACTGCGGCTGTTGAGGATACCCGGGAGTGAATGGCTGTTGCTGCATTTGTTGCTGCTGCATGGCGCCGGGCCCGTACGGCAGACCCCCTTGCATGTTCATTGGATTTGACGCGACGACGGCAGTCTGAACTGGAACCTGCTGGACTTTGCCCTGCGCGACTCCCGTTGCTAGACCGGCAAGGCGGCGCAGGCAAACGACAATGGTTCCGCACACGCAGAGTGTAACGAGGATTCCTGCGACAATCAGGACGATTCCAGCGGCGAGCTTGGTTGATTGCTGGTTTGAGGAAAAATAAACACGGGAGCTCTTAGCTATAGGCAAAAGCAGTTTTCCTTTCTTTGAAAGCTTTCTTATCGTAGCTCTCTTACCTTCAGGCCGAAATAGTAAGTCCCGCCAGTGCGATACGAGAGGTAGATCAGGGGGTCCGCGGCCGAGCGCACTTCAAATTTCGACAGCACACCAGTTGGCGCTGTCGTCACGTACTTTCCAAGCTGGAATTGGTTCTCGGCATAGCATCCTTGGTTCGGCGAGCTACAATGTACGATCGTTAATGAGTTGACCAAAACGAAGCGCACAGCCGACTGACGAGGCTTACATGGCGCTACCGGCAACCCAGTTCCCGCTCGCGTGTGAAACGCGGACGCACACGCTGTCTAGATACTTCACAGTCTGACAGGTGTTGGAAGAATCAAGGGACCCGCCCAATGTGGAACAAGCTGGAAGAAACGAAAACTCCGGTTAGGTGAGCTCCAAACGTATTTGCCCCGGACTCGCCACCAGCTTACTCGATGAGCAAGTTGCCTTTGCCATGCAGGTCTTGTAGTCCTGCGAGGACGGATCACCCGTGCAATCCCCTTGCACGCGACAGTTCATCGCCGTCTTTGACGTAGGCGTCGTCTGCGTCGACGGAATATTGAGCGTAATGAGGGCACGATTTCCAGTGCCGTCCAAAGTCGTGAGCGGGTAGTTTCCGCTCGGCACCCTTGGAACCACATTATCCGCGACTGCCACGTACGGGCTGTATGGTGTGACTTTGGCTTCGGCGTCCGAGTCCTTGAGCGTAGCAGCAGAGGTCTTCGGCGTGTTGGTCATTAGCAGCGGCAATGCCACAACATCAAAGCGGGAGTTTGTAAACTCGGTCTGATATGTGCCCGTCCAGTCCGCAACCACGCGATTGTAGCTGGTAATAAGGTCTCCGCGCGTGTCGGTCGAGCCCGAAATTATGAATATGATCCCAATGATAAACATGATGGGCCCGCAGCACAAAACCAGGCACACGAATGTCCTGATTTTGTGCGAGACTTCACGAAGTCCGCTCAACATTTTACTGTGTTAACGTGAAATAGCCGAAAAGAGGCAGAAATATGAGGGTTGTGGACAGCGTTCAAGGGCAGGTGTGCGAAAACGACCTGCTTTAATGCTTTTGCCAAGAAGCTACGGTTCCAAATAAAGCCAATGCGGGAGCGCCTGCTTGCTTATCCAAAATGAGGCGTCTATATTATTATTAGACGCCCGACCAAGCCAGGATTTGGCATGCGATGCTGTTGGAGGAGTCCTGGAATTGTCGACATTTTTAGATAGCCGCTGCGCCACGCCTACTCCGACCGGCCCCCGTCCTTACGGCGCGGATTTCTGCTTGCGTGCTCGGCGTGCGTATACGATGTCATCGTGGCATTGGTCATGCGAAATGAGAATCATTGCCCATGGATGCGGCTCTTTAACAGTAACATTACAGGGGCAAAACATAGCCAAAATCAAAATAACAGCATCGTAGAAGGCTTATAAGCCCAGCATTTTTAGGCGTGGGCGGAGTGCGGCGGTCCTCGGGATTACCGTTCAAGGCAAACCGATAAACTTCTTTCGTTTCTTCTTCTGCCTGCTGCCGTGTATTTTTTAAACGTTTTTCTGAACGGCTATATACCTGCATCACATAATCCACCCCCCCTCCATCCACGCCCTCCACTTACCGCTTGCCCGTACACCGCGACTAGATCCGCTGTAAAAAACTTCGGATTTAAACCACAACGCTATTCTCCTCTCTCCGCCGACCGAAATCGTTTATCGCCTGCCGCCGATCTGGACCTTATAATAGACGCGGGAGCAGCCGCGAACCCCGTAAGCGGATCGCTGCTGGCAACCTTATAATGAATCATGGCTTGTGGTGTAGGGTTCTCAACCAAGTATTCGACCACACACCTTCTAGGTTATTGCACGCAACTACCTCCCTTTCACGCAATTTTTACGTCCTTCAACTTCCGTCTCCGGTTTATTCAACACGATTTTCAGGCGATTCCCGCCAACAAGCGCGGGCTAGCCACTTCCCCTCCCCTTCGCGTTTACCCAAACCCACTGCCCGCGCATCCTGTGGCATGGCGCAAGCTCTGACCATTCCGGTTCAGTCGAATGGCTTATACGGGGCGGTGAGTTCCGAGGCCCTAATTTTGTGCATTGGGCAGGCAGAATTTCTTGCTGTCATGCTATGAGGCTAATTTATGGTTATCTGGCCACGTACAGGCGGGAATATCTATATCATTCTGTTTTATTGCATTATTATATTCGGCGTGGATACGATGGCGGCATCAACATCTCGTAAGCGAAGAGCAACGGGGTTAGCGGCCTGTCATATCATGAGCGCAAGGATAGCCATCTAACCGTGGGCTTTCGCCTACGCTTTGTTAGACGGAACGATTCTCATTCAAACTAGCGATAGTCCTCCTCGTCGGCAACGCGGTCTACGCGGCAACATTAATCTCGGTGCAGGCCAGCTTGAGCGATGAGCTGCGGTGTATAGCATCGATGCTGTTTTTGATTGCGTCAGAGCTGGTTTGCGTTTTCACAACGGGCGCGATTGCGGCAAACCTGCTGCTGGTTGTCGTGATAAACTGGCAAAAGGGCGGCGAGGCGTTGGAAAAAGTGCATCTGGTTGGAATTATGGCAATCTCGACCACGATTCCGATGGTGAGCAAACATAGCGAAAACGGCTGTTCAAGAAGGAGTTTCAAGCTCGTTAGAAGAAGGACTTGTATCTCTTAACCATTTCCCGGTTTGCTCCCGCAGATTGGTCTCGGGACGAGTAGTTTTGGGATGATGGACGGCGAATGCTGGTTTTCAGGAGGCACAGACAGCAAAATCTTCGGAACGGAATGGTACGCACATGCGTCGCCGGCGCGATTCAGCGCGCTGTTCCTCGCGACTTCATATTCAGTGTTCTTTTTGTCCTCCAAATAGGGCGTTTCTATACTTTTGGATAGCACTGTGCGCAATCTTTTCGACAGCGGGGTCCCTGTTTGTGTGGGGTACAAATTTCCGGCGGCGAAATTCACAACGACCGTCAACAGCAGGGCCGGTCATTGAAGAATCTCCCTCAGCAAACAGCTCGGCCAACCAGATGCAAGGGGGGCTCCACCCTGCAGATTTTGACGCATTGAACTGCTTGAGCGACGATTACCTCTTCCGAAACTCGGCCGCGCGCATAGCGATATATTGCGTGATACCTTTCATTTGCCAAGCGTGCAACATTGCGCTAGATTGCGCATTGTTTTTGAAGCGGAATAGTGGTACGAGTACGAGGGTATGGGGATCCTGGCTCGCGTTTTTTGCAAATGTCACCTCCGGCTCTCAGGTAAGAAAAAGCGAAAAACGCGCCGGACTTGACATAGGTTGTTGATGAGTGGGCTTTTCTGACTTTTTTTTTTGTTCCATTCCAAACTCAGGGAACAATAACAAGCATCGTTTTCCTCATCCTCGACCCGGCCATAATGTCAATCCGAACAGATTACCGTCGAACTCTCATCGGCACATACATCCTACCATACGTTAAAGTTCCAAAAAGGCCAAGACGCGGCGAGCCACATGCCTTCCGCCGCTGGATTCGCGCACGAATATTTCCACGAGCGTCATTTCTCGTTCCTTTACCGCCGGATCGGACGACACGGCTGCGCTTTTGGGCAGTGTGGTGCACGTGTGTCACGGAGCGGGAGTTGCGAATCGTCGAGAGCTTGTATAAAGAGGGCGATGGGACCGATGGAGCGAGAAGCATGAAGAATAATCAGAAGCGGCTGTCGAGATTGTGAAATGGAGAGGCGGAGCCAAGCCGAAGCGGGAAGGGAGGGAACTTATTCGGACATATTATATACAAGAACCTCCGGGCGGCTATGTCGCTCTTTAGAACATGACTAATCCGATGGCCGCGGAGCGAGGCTCTCGATTCTTGCATCCATGGTGTGGGCACTTCGCGCCTCTTGACTGATGCGCTGACCGTGGCCGCGATGTGAAGCGTCGAGCGACCTTCTCAAGGTCTTTGCTTGGTGCGCAGTATCGGTTGAAGCATATGCGTTTCGCATC